ACACCAGCAATCACTATGTTAGACTGCACAGGGAAGCCATTGAAATCTGCAAACTCCAGCTGAGCTTCAACTAAAAAGAAGAAAATCTAAAAATCAACAAAGCCTGGCTCCCAGCACTGAAAAATACAGCCTGCAAAAAGGTCAATGAATTCTACCCAGCCACAAGGACCAGTGATCACTGCACACCAAAGATAGCCAATGACACCCATCAATCATAGTGACAAATAATCTCCCCCCTTATCACAACAAAACACCCATAACAACAACAACAACAAAAACGCCCTGATCACAGGAAATACCCAATCTCCTGAAAAGAACAAAAACCTGATCCCACAGCTACAAATACTCAACAATTCTGCACACGACACCAGAACAGTTTAAGAGCTCTCACTCCTGTCCGCTGAAGATGCCAGCCACAGAGACTGGCAACATGTTAGGAAGAAAAACCTCCAGAACATGGCCAAACAGCCCGAAAAAACCCAGAACTACCATTCAAAAACCTCCAGAACATGGCCAGAAAAACCCAGAACGACCATTCAGGATAATGTTGACCTGAACAAATTATGAAAGGGAACCTGCTGGCCTCACTTCCTCCACCGTAACTTTCTTCATGTAAAAGTTGACAGTCTGAAAAAGAGAGAGTTTCCAGTATCAGTTTAATCACATGGAGGAGGGCCATGTATAGAAAACATTGTCCTCTTTAGACTATTGCTATTCATGGGAAGTGAGTCACTGTAGAGGACAGGGCTAGCATGCTCCCTTTTCTCAGGTGTTCACGTTAATTATTTCTGATTCAAAGAATGATGTGGCATCAGTTAAAATCTAGGAAGGGTTATGATCATATATAACAGGTTGGAGGTGGATTCAAGTCTTACTACAGTGAGTACATGGCAGTATCTTCGGCTATCTACATCCCACAGTTTATGCTTCACCGCAATTGTTTTGTACCATTAATCACATGATTTCTCCTTGAATACAAGTTTTTCTTTTTTCATTACTTGCTGATGTCAGGGGTAGCGGAGAAATCCACATCAAGACCCAACATGGCAATGGGTTTTAACATTTTTCCACTCATTGCTATCTTGGTTCAGATCAACTATCCCACAAGTGGAATTTTGTGTTAGATAAAAGTGCTCATTTGTTTCAGTGAGAGCTTTTTGTCCAAGGCAAATTGGAAGAGTTGGTTGGATAGATTGGTGATTCAGGTTTCTGGCTGTGGAGCCAGAGGTTGGGTGTTTGATTCCCCACTGTGCCTCCTGAGAGAAGAGCCAGCCTTTGTAGTCGGGCAAACTGCACAGTCCCAAGATGCCCCCAGAAGAAGGGAATAGTAAAAGTCTTCTGGGTATAGTGTTCTATATCTAGAAAACTCTGGAAAGAGTTGACATAATTCAAAACTGGCTTGACAGTATACAATGATTATGTAGCTGGCTGGGCAGCTCAGTGGTTTAGATATCTGCAGGGCCAAAGGCAGGGAGTTAGATTTCCCACTGTGCCTCCTGCAAGAAGGGCCAATTTGTGTGAACTTATTCCCAGGGTGCCTCCAGAAGAAGGGAATGATAAACCACTTCTCAGTACTCTCTACCTAGAAAACCCTGGAAAGTTGGAATTGACTTGACAGCACACAATTATATTAAATTTTAAGTATGAGAAAGACCTTAATTAGAGAAGGAAAAAGAAGAAATAGTATATTTATTTATTTATTTATTTATTTATTGGACTTATATACCGCCCCATAGCGCTGCAAGCACTCGCCGGGCGGTTTACAATTTTAATTATACAGGCTACACATTGCCCCCCCCCAGCAAGCTGGGTACTCATTTTACCGACCTCGGAAGGATGGAAGGCTGAGTTAACCTTGAGCCGGCTACCTGGGATTTGAACCAGGATTTGAACTTCAGTCCTTAGTTTTTCCAATAACTATCTGATGTGTAGAACTCTTTGGACACATTCAAGTGTTTTTGCTGAGTTTCCTTTGAAATTCTTTGATACTTTGTGTAAATATGAGAAGGTGGGGAAAAAATCAATCAGAATTTTACTATAGGTGACATGTCAGTAGTAATTCTTATACTGGCATGTCTCTCTCTCTCTCTCTCTCTCTCTCTCTCTCTCACACACACACACACACACACACACACACACACACACACACACCCCTGCTGGATAGCTCAGTGGTTTAGCCATCTGGTTGGCAGTTTGATTATCCACTAAGCCTCCCTGACAGGGGCTGGATGCTCTTCTAGTTCTGCAGTTCTAAGATTATTAACCTTGCTATTATTTGGACAGACATGGGGGGGGGGCTTCGCACTGTGAATTAGGGAGGCAAACTCAACAAAAGCAAAAAATAAATCTTAACAGAACTATCACTTCAGAACTGCAGTAACCCTGCAGAAAGAAAAGGAAACTACTGTATGGGTAATATAGGCTTGAAGTTTGCCCAGGATTTTCCTCTAGAGGGCAATATTTGTTCATTCACCCCAAAAAAGGAAAAAAAACCTCATGAAACGTAAGGCAGGGGGTGGAATGCATATTAGTTATTTTAAATTAAATAATTCATCTTTCTTCTTTAGACACAAGATGATGCACTAAGGAGTGAAGTACAATTTATACTGGTTTTTACACTTGCATTCAAATGGAATCTAATCATCAGGCTCTTTTTTTGCTTTTTTAAAATTTGCATCTGCTGCAAGATCCTTTGGCATCAACTAGAAGTGAGACTGCAAATGCGGACAAGAAGATTTGCAGAGTATACTCGTTTATGCTGAGAAAAGAATTTACTGACCTGCAATAATGCAAGCTTTGCTTTGAGCCAAGGCTCATCAGATTTTTCAATAACATGACTAGGCATCCTCTGAAATATACCAAGCAATAAACAGATAATGCCTCTGAGCATTTTCAGAGTGTAGATCATTCACCACTGAAAACAGCTTTCAGTACTACCTTATACAGTAAGTGAAATAAGAATATTGGTCTCGAAAGCCAAGAAGGTATGTCAGATGTTAGAGATAGCCCATAACAGAGTTGAAAGAGCATTAATGTTATATAGGGGCAATTGATTCTTTTTATTTATTTATTTCGGATTTGTGAGATCGAACATCAATGGAGTCTCATGGTTTAGTTCTGAAGACCCAAAAACTCAGTAAACCAACTTGCATACTTCCACAGGGTAAGAGAAACTCCTGCTATGACAGACGCTTTAATTAGTTAAGGATTTTCCTCTTCTAGTCCTCAGCTATCTTCAGTGGACAACCTTCCAAAAAACAGATCCATCCAACAGAGCACTACTCTCTGTAAACAGGAAACATGGCCACTCCATCTCAAGCAAAAATGTGCTATTTGAGATAAAGAACCATAGAATAATAGAGTTGGAAGAGGCCTATAAAGCCATCGAGTCCATACCTCTGCTCAATGCAGAATGCTGTAAATAATTAGAAGAGGTGAGTGAAGGACAGACAGAGCAGCCAGATGTAGTGGCACATATCTAAAATAGCAATTACTGAATTTCTAGGTCAAGAAACAGACATTAGAGAACTATAACAAAGGCAGCCAGTGACCTTGGCTTAATCTATCTACCGTGAACATCTGGGCAATAGACACAGCAGGTGGGCTATGTCACACACATTCAGACTGTGTCGAACTATGTTGTTGTTGTTGTTATCTCCAACGTATGCCAACCCTATGAATAAGTGACCTCCAAAATGTCCTATCACTAATAGCCTGATTCAGCTCTTAGAAATGCAGGGCTGTTGCTTCCCTTGTGGAATCAAGACATCACATTTTTGGTCTTCTTCCTGCTGCCCTCAGCTTTCTCAAGCATTAATATCTTTTCCAATGAGTCCTGTCTTCTCATGTTATGTATATTTAGTCGTTTAGCCGTGTCCGACTCCTCATAACCCCATGGACCAGAGCACACCAGGCTCTCCTGTCTTCCACTGCCTCCCAGAGTTGGGCCAAATTCATGTTGGTAGCTTTGATAACACTGTCCAACCTTCTCATCCCTTGTCGTTCCCTTCTCCTCTTGCCCTCACACTTTCCTAACATCAAGGTATTTTCCAAACAGCTTCAGGATCTGTCCTTCCACTGAGCACTCAGGGTTGATTTCCTTTAGAATTGATAGGTTTGTTCTCCTTGCAGTCCAGGGGATCCTCAAGAGCCTCCTCCAGCACCACAATTCAAAAGCATCACTTCTTTGGCGTTCAGCTTTCTTTATGGTCCAGCTCTCACTTCCATACATCACTACAGTGAAAACCTCATGTTATACATACGTATAAATCAGCAACTACATTTTTTCTCCTTACTTACTGAAGCATTCCCTCTGTGAGGACCCATGTCTTTGGCAGTCCCTTCTTATCTGCCTGGGCCTTAATGCCCTCTGGGGTGTGTTTACATATCCCCTATAATTTAAGTAATATGGATATCTTTCTACTGCTCTATTCTAGGACTTGATTATGTTTCTGCTGTGGTTTCACTTCAGCCTCTAAAATATGGGCTTTCCCAACCTGGCTCTTGTGGTACACTATCAATAGCCATTCATGCCTTCTGTACTTTGACCATTGCTAACAAAGCGAATCTCATACATCTACTGTATAAAGCTAGTTTTTCTAGCTTTAGAAAAACTAGGCAGCACAATAAGTCTCAACCATTGCTTTAGTAGACCTTGCATGGCTTGTGTACCAAGTTGCATCCACTCAACATTTTGAGGAAAAATGCCCCTCCGCCTGAACTGGCACTGCTTTTGCCACAGCAGCTAAAGCAGACCCACGTGTAAGTGTCAGAGGAGCCCAGCAAGATAATGAGCTTGTCATGAAAGCTGGGCATTGTGCCATTCTTGGGACCAGCTAAATCTGTTTCCAAGCCTGAAGAAATATAAATGAGTGACTGTTGCTATGTGGCTTGGAGTGCCCTAACGACAGGTCTGGAAGTATAAAATCCTACTTGCATTCCTGCTTCAGAGACACCCACAGGAAAAAAAGCATTCTAGTGTTCATTCACTCCCCTTTAAGAGCTGCCTTGCTACCACCTCATGGAAGGAGCCTCCTGCATCCCTCCCCTTTAATCTCAGTTTATTGTTAGCACTGTGCCTGCCTTTAATCCCTGCAGACTTGTAGGAGCTGAGCAGGAGAGCCAGAAAACAGAAGTTGCTTCATTTTTTGTCTTGCGGGGTAAGCTGATCCTATTTCCTTGACAACAATTTGTGTTCTGTGCCTGTTTTGTCCCAGGTACGAATGGTATCCTGTTCTGATTGTTTCAAGACTCTTTTTGTCTAGATTTGATGTGATGTTTTCACTAGGAACACATAGGTTTGCAGAGAATCTATAGCTGGTGTAGTACTTTAGCTGAGACTTTTCCTTGAAAAAATAAAAACAGGAGGCTTGGCAGTTTTGTAAAGGGAGAATGATACTTGGCAATCATTTGTACTAATTTGGAAATAAACATTAAACCTGATTCTGCATAATGTTTTCATTGACCTCAAGCTTACATATTCCTTTGGCATCAATAGTACCACCTGAGTAGTCATTACATTCTGGGTTATAATTTTCTAATATATAATTAGTGAAGATATATAATGTTTCTCCTGTTCACCTGTTCTCTTACGTATGATTACACCTGATAGGTAGTTTTGATTTGTGTTATACTGAAAGGTAAATGAATTATATTCTTTTATAACCCAATGGTTTGGGTAGTGTTTGGCACCTTCTTTCATCTGGCTACACAGTTAGAGGTTATCAGAAAAGGAGAGCAACAGATGCATGCATTTACTTTCCTATTCATCTTAACTTTGCTTCTCAACTATTATCCTCACTGTTCTCCTGTTTTACTAATTTATGCATTCAATGGAAGACTGAATAACACATCTGCTGACGCTGTAAGATAGGAACGCTGAACAAATTTTCCGGAGGAAATATTTATGCAAGGTCATAACACTTATTAGATTATAATTGATGACACATCATTCTCTGAAACAGGAAAAAAAATCCAAATCTCACTTATCTGGTATATAATGTTTTTTTTGGGGGGGCGATACCCCCAAGGTTGAGCTTTAAATATTGCTACTTCTTTCTCATTGCAAAACAAACACGTCCAGGCTGAGATACAGGCAGAGATGACAGCAATTCAACAACTGTGCACACTGTTTACATTGGGTGGCAAAGATACATTGCAATGTTCTCTTATGCTTTTACTTGCAAAGTGGGGGGGTTGTCTTTAGAGAGTGCTTCCCTTTTCATAAAATTAACTTTATACACTCTAAGTATAGGGTAGACTAGACTACTGAAGCACTTGATGTGAAAAGAACTATGAGATACATAACAAATCGTCTGTTCTTCCTCCTACACATAGGACTCTGAAGCAATATATCCCAAGATATTAGGTGGTTACTGTTTTGATTTGTCTCATGGGTCTTTCAGTTTGTGGTTCTTTTTTTGCTAAAAGCCTGTAAAGTAGACCAGGACTCTTAGACCCACATGAATATCTAGGATTTGGGAATGCTCAGATCCAGCTCCATGACCTGCTGAACTTTCTCACTAAAGCCAATGACCTTTGGAGCTTCTGCTGAATGAAATGTCTCAACAGGGTAACATTGCAGATTCATGGTGCTTGTGCAAGTGTTGCTGTGTTCCAAGTTGTAAACTTCATTTAAAAAATAAAACACATAACCCTCTGTTTGTACAACAGCAAGGCTTGTGAAAGTCACACTTTACTACACTGATGCCCAGTAAGATACTAGCCTAAGAATCTAGTGCCTGAGTTTACTTTTGGGATTTCTGCCCCCCTTCTCCCTTCCAATCCTTTCTCTTTTGATGCATATCTTTCCAATTGTGAGCCTAGGAACTTACAATTACTTCAGAGATTTGTAAGACACTTTGGGAAACTTTCTGGCTGAATCCTGGTTTATGGATACTTTAAATAAATGAAAGACACTTGAAGTGTTATACAAGAAGTATAGGGGGAGTTAAAACAATTTTATTGTGAGACCTTGAAGCGGATGAAAGGAATATTTCCATCTCCATCTAATCACGATGGCCGATAATAGTTGCCTTGACATCACAAACAAAAAAGCCACAAGCCTATTATTTACCATCTCTATGAAAAAAATGCTCTTACACAAGTTAGTTTTAGAGAACTGTCTTGACTTCGAAGAACAATCCAATCCTAAGGTTGGGGATAAAGACCCCAAGTAGAAATGGAGTTTAGGACTGAGGGCAGAGCAAGCTTTTACTCTTTGGTACATGTTATAAGGAAACACAATATTTTTGATGACAACCTTCCATATCATGAATATAAGGGATGGGTATATTACAGAGTTACAGGCTTCAACCCATCAGCTGGATCTTTGTGCAAAAGGAACACATTAAGAATGCAAGAATTCTGAGCTCTAGTTGTGTGTATCAGGACTAGGATAACCTATTTTTCTGTGTGTACCTGGCAGAGCCCCAAAGATCATGTCCTCCCCCACAAAGGGAGGGACAAAGGAGAAGAACTTTACACAAGCCCAGGTTTTGTTCTTAGTACAGACAGAGCAGCATAGCCCACACTTAGCAACAAGGGGTCCAAGGCAGAGTATGGAGAGAAGCTAGACTGCCTAGATGCTATGTATAGCTTTTCTGTTTCTTACGCATACTACAAAAATCTCAAACAATAGCTTACAAAGTTCCAAGACAATTGGAAACACAGAGGCTTACAGTTAAAAGATGTGCACCAAAGGAATATATACTTTGACCAAGAAGATAAAAACAGTCTGTCAGAGCCCATCTTGGGGAGGGGGATGACAGTTAGAAGATAATTCTTTTTCTTGAAAAGCTTTGGGGCCCCAACAAATTAGTAGAATGACAGCCATCCTCAGTCCTCACAGAGAGCACATTTTTGTGAAGAGCAAAATAGCATCAACAGTATCATGCAAGTTTCATTAAAATTCAGTGTTATTAGTTTGACCACCAGGTGGTCCATTAGTGAAAGATGAAGGGCCAAACTAAAGCCCAAATTTAGAAGATGTGCTTCTTCGCTTGATGAAAAATGTCTGTCATAGCACAGGATTTTCCCCATGCGTGTGTTTTGCACTTAGCATGCATTGTTCTGTGATTGGCCATTAGATAGTAAACACAGGCTTCATTTGCAAGTCTGATTGCCAAGGCATATGTTCTCCTTAATATACAGTTTGATTCGCTGAGAAACTGACTGTGCTAAAATAAGAACACCATGTGCAGTATGCCTCCATGTCCTAGTAGCCAGACAGAAGCACCCTCAGATCACTGACTTCAGAGGATTACTTCCAGGCCGAACAAATGGAGGAGGCAAAGCTTCCATTCCCACTTCTTCTACAATGTCCTCTCTCTCTCTCTCTCTCTCTCTCTCTCTCTCTCTCTCTCTGTTTCTGAAACTTTGTTGCGATTCTGCAAGCAAATTTTATCATTGTTTTCTTTCTTGAGTTGGCAAGTTCTATTGGAGAATTTTGCTTTTTCCTTTTAGTTCGCAGAGTATGAGGTAAAAAAAAAAAAGAATAATGCAGAAACATGGAGAAATTGAGCCAATCTCAGCACCCTCCCTCTCCCCTTCGTTTCTTTTGCACACAAACTAGCACTTTATATGATAAAATCGCTCTAGAATCATTTAAAGTATAAAAAGGTATCTTTACTTACAGTTACCATTTGTGATTACAGTTCAAAGAATAAAAGGGAGTGAATAGAGTCTCCACCATATAGAGAGACTCTCCATGCTTGTTCGATGTTAGAGGAAGAGGGCTATCAACAGCAAAAGCAATAGAAGTAAGCAAACACTCAGGGCGGGGGGTTTGCCTCAAATGCCAGAGGCAGAAAAGAACTTTTCCAATCATATTAGTCACAAAATACCATCACATTAGGCTGTAAAAACCCCTCCCACTGATACCCAGTGCCAGCACACGCAAGATTGCTATTTTCCCAACAATCTCCAATGGCTTACCATTTGCCTCTCCTGGTGTGTTGTGAACTTGAAGACTGGAAGGAAAGGGAGGAGATTTCAGGCATGATCACAATCTCTCTCTCTCTTCTCTGATCCTGCCCCCATTAAGTTGTTATTTAAGTGTGTGGGGACTACGCCTGTTGAGGAGAGCATGCTGCCCTCCCAGATGCTTTCAGCACATGAAAGTTGAAGACAGTCTAATAATAAGCAAAATAATAAGTGAAATACTGCTGTATTCTGATAGCCTCTTTACCAGGGCCAGAACCCCAATTGGTGCACAGTGGTGCCACAGGCAATGTTCACAGGGTCAAAGTCCTTGGACCGTGGTATGTACAGTGACTGTGACATCATCTGCCACTCACCATCCCTTCAGCTTCGCTCTTTCCCCCTAACCTGGCTGTAATCCTCCCAGCATCTGGGAGAGAAATGGATTTTCCCAGGAAAGTACACCTGTTATAATACAATGTACTTGGAGGTGGTTTGCTTAGAGAAACTGTTTATCACTTGTTGATACAGATTGATCCTGGTGGTTAGATTTTGCACCTTGTGGAGGTGGGTGTTATGCTGAGCATATGTTTTTCCAGGTTTACTAAGACACCGCTGAATATGGCTCATATACTGTAAAGATACTACCCAGACAAAGCAACTTCTCCCTCTTTAGACTGCCACAAGTAATGGTGGTGGAGTCTGACCTAGCACGTTCATCACAACACATGTGCATTCTGTGTGCTTAGGTAATGACTGGATAGAGCCTCCTCCTACTCTCTCTCTCTCACACACATACATACACACACACACACACAGAGAGAGAGAGAGAGAGAGAGAGCGTTCTCCTCAGCTACTCAGTAAGAAAACAGCAAAAGCAAGCATCTGACTTGAAATGTTTTAAGGACACCCCACTGCCCTCAAGCACTGGTGTAAGAGAGCTAACACTTGCCTCTTAAAGGTACACCCCTCTCTAGGCCACAAGCCATGATAGCACCCAAATCCAGCCCTGTTCTCCCAAGATTTCTCCGTTCAGCAGTATAGTTTCCAGTGCAATGGGGAGTCATTTTGTTGCCACTATTAGTCAGAAATCTTTGTTGATCTGCCATATAGTGACAAAAGATGTACAACTATCTCTTCTTGCATCTGCTGCCTACGCCTGCTGATTAAATCAGGAGTAAAATGATAACGGGTTTTGCAGAAAGAAGAAATGGAAAGGTCCTGCAGCCCACCTTTATGC